TAAATAAATTTTTCTACCTTTCTTTTTTATAAAAGAAAAGAAACCCAACTTTTTTCAAAACATAATAATTTTGCTAAAAAAATAATTTGTGAAATATGTTATTTACAAATATAATTTCTATTTTTAATCGCAAGTCTGTTATTATGCCTTATTCTCATGATATTAATGGTGGAAATGTCAACAACCATGACCACAATAATACGACAAACCCAAAATTTTTAAAATCTAAATTTGACCAAAATGTTGATTTTATAAATGAAAAATCTCCAATATACAACACCAACAATGACGATTCTCGGGAGTTCAACGAAAAAATTTATCCTGTCAACAACAGCAATCTTACTGTTGATACTAGTATTAAAAGTATCAGAAAATTAAATACTAAGCGTAGCACGGGCAGTTTATTCAAATTATCGTTGAAACGTAATAATAGTAATATTTGGAATTCGTCAACAATGCCAGATCTAAACAATATAACAATAATAACACAACCTCCAAGTCCAATAGCAAATTCGGCTCAACTTTGGAAACAAGATCTTGATCCAAATGTTAAAGCTCAAATGAAAGCTGCTGAAATTCATCGACAAGTAATTATTCATGAAATAATTCGTACAGAAGATGAATATGTTAAGGATTTACGTTATTTTTTAGAGGTAATTATTATTGTATTATTGTATTATTGTTTATTATTTATTATTTATTATTATTATAATAATTAATTTTTTTTTTTTTTTTTTTACAATTAAAAATTTTTTTTTCTCAAAATAGAACCATGTACCGAAAATTAGAGAATCGGGTGTAAAATTACCAGCAAGTCTCGAAAAAATATTTACGATATTGCCATATATATTTCTTTTACACTTAAACACATCGTTGGTATGTATATATTAATAATAATAATAATAAAGATATATATATATTTTCGAAAAAATATAAATTTTTTTTAATTTTCTATTTTCTATTTCTTTTTAGCATCTTCTTTGTCTACAAGCAATAATGAAGCCAGTTATACCAAGTGTATCAAATGTACTTGGAGACATGTCCAAAGAATTAGAAGTATACGAATCATATTTAATTCATCATCAAATGGCAATAGCCGAATTAACAAATGCACGTAAAAAAAATAACAAGCTTGGACAAATTTTAAATTATTTGGATAAAAAAGAATTGCCGACTGGTAAATACATGTCAGTAGAAAGTTTACTAGCCAAACCATTTCAACGTTTATGCAAATATCCATTATTGATTATGGTAAGTAGGAATAAAAATCTTTTTTTTTGGAAATTTATTTAAAAATTAATTAATTAATTAATTTCCCTTAATAAAAATTTGATTTACATATTAATGTGGCAGATTTGAGAAATGTTTTTGTTTTTATAAAAAAAATTGAATTGTAT